TCCTGCCGACTCCGCCCAGTGCCGAGGTAGTGGACTTCTGCCTTATACCCCGAAGCTCACCTCACTTTAACGGTGCGCATGATCCGATTGCTGTACTCGCCCTCCTTTCATCTGGAGAGGTCATCACACTAAGCTTTCCGAGCGGGATTCCAATCACGCCGACGAACCAACTCCATGTCTCTATGACGTTCGTACACCCTTTCGTGAAAATCGTTAAGCTGACCCCAGTGGAGAGGACGAGATGGCTTGGTATGACAGAGACCCGCTCTCAAGGTCCATTGATCCTGAAAGGAGGCGCTGAGGCAACGCATCCTCTGAGAAGATACGAGAGTCGTAATATTGTGCACACCGCTCACGCGGATGGAACGGTCAGACTGTGGGATGCAGGCCACGGAGACGAATTGGAAAACGAGAAGGTGGTCCAAGTTGACGTGGCCCGTGCTGCAGGTCGCGTTGATGGTGCAGACATAACAGTCACCTCTCTTGCCGGCGGTAGCGGCGAGTTTGGAGCCGGTCTGAGAACCGGCGAAATTGTCATCTTCCGGTGGGGCACCAATCGCAATTTGGGAAGAGAACCACGGCACACCGGTGACAACAAACCAAATGCCCTAACCAACATTGTGGAACGGACAGATCCAGCGCTCAAAGAAGGTCTTCTACCATTCACGCTGCTGGACATGCAGAATGGACCGATCACTGCTCTGAAGCTAAGTGACGTTGGTTTCGTAGCAGTAGCATCGGAGGGCGGAAGCATCTCTGTTGTTGACCTGAGAGGGCCAGCCATTATCTACAACGCTAACTTGCAAGACTTTGTGAAGGGTGACAAGAAGGGCAGTTTCCGGAGGAGCAGTGCACACGGTGCTCCAAAAGCAGACTATGTCACGGCTCTGGAGTTCAGTGTGATGACGTTGGAAGGAGACGGTTACTCCAGCATATTGATGCATGCTGGTACACATCTGGGACATCTCGCTACGTTCAAGGTGATCCCCGATTCAAGCGGCCGTTACACGGTACAATATGTCGGCTCTTCAACTCTCGATGGCAGGGTGATATACATCGCACCAGTCAGCGCTGATACTGGACGGCCAGCGACCGCTAGCCCGAACGCTGTCGCAGTTTTGAGGAACGGCGCAAAGACAGAAGGCGCACTTGTCGTGGTCACGCACTCTGAAATACGCATTTCCAAGCCACCAACGGCAAAGGGTGCCCACAAGTCCTTCGACAACTTCTTCTGCGACGCAGCCGGCATAGCGCGTTACCAGGATGCAGGTTACGCCCTAATCGGTCTCTTCGGCGACGGCACCGCGCGCGCATTCTCCCTCCCAGCTCTCAAAGAGATCGGCAGTCAGAAACTCGACCAAGTCATGGACGTCCGCCGCTTCAGCGAAGCCACCGTGACCCCCTCCGGCAACATCCTCGGCTGGACCGGACCCAGCGAAATGAGCCTCGTCACCGTCTGGGGCACGGGAGAGCCGCTGCCCAAGAGCCAGGATCGCCTCTTCAACCCTGATGCACTGATTCCGCCCCGTCCGACCATCTCAAACCTCCAGTGGATCTCGGGCACGCAGTATATCACCCCAGCCGATATGGATGTCCTGATCGGCGGTCCGGACCGGCCGCCTAGCAAGCGGATGATTGCGCAAGCAAAGGCCGATGAGTTGGAAGCGCGGCGTGCGGCTGTCAAGGGCGCGAGCGGGAGTGCTGCTAGTGAAGTTGGCCAGGGTCAGGGTGGTCAGGAAGGCTATTATGCGTGGATGCAGAGGCAGATCACGGAGCGGACGGAGAAGTTGGGGATTATGGGGGATAGGATGGATGAGTTGGAGAGCAATAGTAGTGGGTGGGCGGATGATGTCAGTAAGTTTGTGCAGAGGCAGAAGAGGAATGCTGTTATGGGAGGTGAGTAAAGCTGTTGATGTTATGTTGGTGCGGTAGATATCAGATGCTGACTGCTCGTAGTGGTGAAGTCGAAGTTCGGGTTCTAGGGTACGTGTGGAGGAGGTGAATGCGCTACAAGTTGCCCTGGCGGTGACGATCAGATACCCAGACGACTTATAGAGTGAAATCAGTTGTGAACCTCCGTTTGACGCTTCTTTGTGTTCAACCCCAGGTCTTAATCTCTATCAGCGGACTGTAAACACGTGAAAATGAAGACGATGGGGTCAGGCTTGAAGCTTTCACTTGAGCTAACAACCTCACACGTGCCTGCTCAATTCGCACAACAAGTCACCTGCATGACCTACGTATACTTCCCCTCCCTAAACTCGCTCCCTATCCTCTCAGATCTGAATTACCAGCACTAAAGCTCCTGCTTCTGTCACCCGAGCTCAGAATTATAGCTCAACACCGCAGCATCAAGCAGTCAGAAAGATGACAGAACAAGCAGCCTCGACGCGTTGTCGCTTTCTAGAGCTTCCGCCTGAGCTCCGGTATATCATCTACGGCCATCTGTTTCACAATATTGAAGGCACACAAGCCCAGGAAATACTCTTCGATCTACTCGACCCGCCTATCAGTTGTTCCCGCCCTTGCTTAACGCAGACCGGGCCGTACGAGGTCAACATATTGCAGACGTGCTCGCTCATTCACAATGAGGCATGCGTAGTCCTCTACTCTCATCGTCGATTTCAAGCCGTGGTCGACATCACGGGAGCAGCATTCCTTGGGCGCCTTCTCGACGCGAATGCCACGGATGTCACACGCTATGCGAATGTCCTGTCCCAGCTCAGGGTCATCGACGTGACAGTCGTGATCGAACCTTTCCTAGATAAAAAGTGGCAGGAGCTTGTGGTGTCTTTTCTTCGGTCCCATACCTCGGTCATGCGCCGCTGTCTACTGGAGTGCCGGAATCTGCAAATGTTAAACGTACACCTAAATTGCGAGCAAATGATGTTTGACAATACCAAGACTGTAGCCAATTTGGTCTGCGCGATCAAGGAAGCGGAGCAGGAACCTCGCAGGACACTGGAACTACTACGCATACACGTCTGCGGTCCGTGTGTTGCAGCAGCACTTGAAGCATTTGTTCCTCTCCCAGTCAGAAAGAACCTCACATCCAGCGCGCACCTACTTCACGGAAAGTGGGTTACACCGCATTCGATCGAAAAGATCTCTACTAATCTATCAAGCGTGTGGAAAGCGATGATGGATGAGGTCGAGACAAAAGCTTGAATCCCAAAGGAGAAAAAGCTCTGGGACTGGAGATGCTTCACCAGCTTGAGTACTACTGAATCCGAAGAAGTCGCTACACTTGCAAGACTCTAAATGAGAAGACCGCTAGGCCAGAGCTAGTACACGTTCTCGGTACCGAACGTAGAAGATTCTTTTTAACGGGGCGGGCTTGGGGAAAGAGGAGCGATTGGAGCTTCAGTATGTAGTATTACCTTAGGTACTCTCCTGAGAGTTTTCGACGATACTCAAGATCTTGTGGGGGGTTTTCTTCAAGTATTAGCGCGCATACACAGCATTTTGGCATTGACGCGTTGATACTTGTGCCATCGAGAGTTGATAACTGGGACAGCAAAGTCATTACAATAGGGTTATACATCATTGAATCATTGTGCCGGCCAGCTCATGTAGAACGATACTCCATGGCGTATTGAACCTGCTAATACGTTCTCATCTAATCGTACTCTATGAGCACTCGTGTCGTCCACCAGCTTGCGCTATATTCTACAAGTTGGTATAAGGTACAGCACCCCAGCGAGGTATGAACTTACAATGTTGAAACGTCATCGAAGCTTTCACAAACGTTCCACACGCGGGCCGAGCCGCCGACGAACCGATGGGTCGGGATCCCCAGTCAAGCATCCCACTCCTATGCACAATCACTCCGTCTACATCCCTCATCTTACCACCACTCCCAGGCTTGCATGGAAATAGCAGAGCCGGACAGCAAACCATTTCAATATGCTCCGCTGACTCACGACAAAGGCAAGCAGCCTGTGAGAGAAGAACATGCTGTCGACAACGATGCACCGCAGGACACTTGCGTCATCTGCCTTGAGCGCATCACCGAACGCGCCGTCGCAGTGCCCTGCAACCATCTGAACTTCGACTTCCTTTGCCTCGTTAGCTGGATACAAGAACAGCCTACATGTCCGCTATGCAAAGCGCCCTTGTCCGAAGTCCAGTATGACTGGCGGACTCCAGAGGATTACAAAACATACGCTGTTCCGACTCCATCGTCTCCCACAAAGGCTTCTTCAGCACCTCCAAGCTCAGCGTCCGGCCTTCCACACAGGCTACCTAGGAGAGGCGGACCGGGGTTTGCGCCGTATCGGCCTACGACCCCGGATAGCGCGTTAGCTGTCCGGAGGAGGGTGTACGCTCACAAACTACACTCCTTACACGTCGGAGCAAACCGTGTATCACAATACCGAAACTTCACGCCTCCTACATTCAGTACATCGCCCCAGCTGCAATCGCGGGCCAAGAAGTTCATCAGGCGCGAACTGCAAGTGTTTTCATTCCTGCACTCGCAGGGTCATGCGAATGCAGAGTTTCTGCTCGAGTACATCATTGCGATTCTGAAGAAGATAGAGATCAAAGATGCAAGCGGCACCGCGGAGGATATGTTACAAGAGTTCTTAGGAAGGGAGAATGCGAGGTTGTTTTTGCATGAGTTGGAGCAGTGGCTTAGGAGCCCGTATGAGAGACTGGAGGATTGGGACCGACACGTGCAATACCCGAGGCAAGGAAGAGGAAGGGGTAAGGAAGATGCAACAGATAGCCGGTCCGCTCAGGAGACGGGTCCAGAGTGAGAGAGTAGTGCGTAGGAGGGAGTAGGACTACAATATCGAGGATATGCCATCTACAACGTTACGTCCGGACCAAAACAGCCCCACCGAGCCGCACACAGCTTTTTGAGAGACTCATATCGAGTCAAGTACTGTGGAACAGAGCTGAGAAAGCGTTCTCGCCCATCTCCAACGAGATGCGCAGATGGAGAAGGGTGTTGGACCGATATATATGACTGCAGCTGTTCATTAGTCATCAATCAGTCCGAAATGGTCTAGTGGCTAGGATTTGTCGCTCTCATTATCAGAGGTCCGACAAGGCCGGGGTTCAATTCCCCGTTTCGGAATAACGACAGTATCATCCATCTAGATGATCTTCTTTTGCCGTTTTTTTTGGCTCCCAATCGCAGGTATCACAAGGGCTGGCCGTAGCAGAAGCTCGCGTGGGACGTCGTGAGGAGGATATGGGCCGCATGGCCGTGGATGAACCGACGAGGAACAGTGATGGAGACACAAAAGAGAGACTCGGTGCTAGGAAGCATCTGCGATAAATTTTTGACGAGCGAAGCCCCGAGCGAAGCTGCTATACAAGAACATGCATAGATGAACTTGCGACTTGGATTGCTTCGGACGAAATTATCAAAGCTGGTGGGACCCTTGTCGATTCATAGAATGGAACCAAAGTATAGTATTGATATGTTGGCAATATATAGCTAGGATAGAGCACGAGGAATATACATGTATGCCTGTGTATTTACTGCATCTGGTAGAGATCTTTGCATGAGATTCTGTTATAGATCTTGGACCCTGAACGGTGGTGCCACTGGCCTCCGCACCTCAGTGTGGCTTGCCGCTCCAACCTATGACGCGCTTCAGGGCGAGATCACCAGTACATCCGCCATACCACCAGTCCGCGTAATCACTACCTACTCTACCTGTGTCTCGAGCCTGGAAGCCTTGAAGATTGCCCGCTATACCCGGACTTTCACGTCGTTCCACATCATTATAATTGGTCTGACCGGTCATCACCTGAACAGCCCCGTACGCTCCCTAGTTTGAGGTATTTGGTATATTGGCAAAGGAGCAGCACGCGCAAGTGGTTGCCAAAAAAAGGACTCCACCAAGATCGCAAACCGCAAGATTCACCATGTCTTCTCTGCGACTCCGTATCGAGGGCCAGAGGTTCCGGGACCAGCACAATCGCGAGGTCACACTACATGGCATCAACGTAGCTGGGGACACTAAATTCCCCGCACGACCGGATCAAACATCTCACGTCAAGGAGGGCTTCTTTGATGGCGATAATGTTTCCTTCGTCGGGAGACCATTCACCGTAGACGAGGCACACATTCATTTCACCCGGTTAAAGAGATGGGGTTACAACACTATCCGGTATATCTTCACATGGGAAGCTCTGGAACATGCAGGGCCGGGCATTTACGATGAGGAGTTCATTCAGCACACAATCGAGGTGTTAAGAGTGGCGAAAGAGTATGGCTTCTACATCTTCATGGACCCGCATCAGGACGTATGGTCGAGATTCACAGGCGGTTCTGGAGCGCCCATGTGGACAATCTACGCCTGTGGTTTGGACCCGGAAAAGTTCCTCGTTACTCAAGCAGCATTGGTACAAAACACATGGCCGGACCCAGCAGAGTTCCCGAAGATGATTTGGGCGACGAATTATACCAGGCTCGCTTGTCAAACGCTCCTCACGTGCTTCTTTGGTGGAAGGGACTTTGCGCCGAAAGCCATCATTGATGGGAAGAATATCCAGGATTATCTGCAGGGACACTTTATCGACGCTTGTAAGCATCTTGCGCAGAGGATACACGAGGCCGGCGACCTAGAGCATGACGTTGTAATCGGCTGGGAGAGCATGAATGAGCCGAACAGAGGGTACATAGGGTGGCAGGACTTGTCGGTGATACCATCGGACCAAAAGATGCAGAAAGGCACGTCGCCAACAGCGTGGCAGGCTATCCTGACCGGCTCAGGCAGGTCTGTGGAGGTCGACACATGGGATTTTGGAGGTCTTGGCCCGTACAAGTCAGGCACTGAGTTGGTAGATCCGAAAGGCGTGTCTGCTTGGCTGGCAGCGGATTACGACGATTCTCGTTATGGATGGAAAAGGGATCCAGGCTGGAGGCTGGGCGAATGTCTATGGGCGCAGCACGGCGTGTGGGACCCGAGCAGTGATAAGTTACTCAACAAGAAGTACTTCGCCAAATCACCCTCGAAAGATACGATTGATCACGAATACTACACTAACCACTACTTCCTGGACCATTACCGGAGCTACACCAAGGCGATCCGTAGCGTCTTCCCGGAAGCGATCATGTTTTGTCAGTCGTCGCCATTCGAGATACCTCCTTCAATTAAGGGAACAAAAGACGATGACCCGAACATGGTCTATGCGACACACTTCTACGACGGCATAACACTCATCACCAAGAAATGGTAAATATTGGCCCTTCTTTCCACAAGCCTGCCTCCTAACTCTCATATTTAGGAACCGCTTCTGGAACGTCGACGTGTTCGGCATCTTACGCGGTCGCTACCTTAGCCCAGCATTCGCCATCAAAGTCGGTGAATCAGCAATCCGGAATTGCTTCCGTGATCAACTAGCAGCCATGCGGAAGGAAGGGCTGGACTACATGGGCGAGCATCCCTGTGTCTTCACCGAGATTGGCATACCATACGACATGGATGACCGGTATGCATACAAGACTGGTGACTACACAAGCCAAGCACTGGCTATGGATGCAAATCACTATGCCTTGGAAGGATGTGGCGCCGCAGGCTTCACGCTATGGGTCTACACCGCCTCGAACAACCACTACTGGGGCGACAACTGGAATGGCGAAGACCTGTCCATCTACTCCCGGGACGATCGTCCACTGCCTCTTTCCCCACACCCGGACAATGCCTCGACGACCTCCTTCAACCCGACCTCCCCCTCCTTCTCCGACAGCCGCTCCACAGACACCCGTCCCGTCTCCCCCGAAAACCTGAAAAAGACCCTCTCAATCGAGCGTATGTCGCCATCGTCACGATCCCAGTCCTTCATGAACGACGCCGACACCCCCGGCTTCCGCGCCGCCGAAGCCTACGTCCGTCCAACCCCGATTTTCACTCACGGCTCCGTCCTAGCCCACGGCTTCGATCTCAGAAACTGCGTCTTCACCCTATCCCTGACGTCGCCGTCCTCGACGCCCGAGGACGCGCCGACGGAGATGTTCCTGCCGGAATTCCATTTCCCGAAGTCGGACGTCCAGGTCGAGGTCAGTGGCGGCAAGTGGGAGATCAGGACGGATGAAGCGGATGGCGAGGGTGGGCTTGTGCAGAGGTTGAGGTGGTGGCATCAGGAGGGCGAGCAGAAGATTACGGTCAAGGGAGTTAAGAGGAGGCAGGGGATGAAGATGGGGAAGGAGGAGGAGGAGGGCTATGTCGAGCAGTGTCGGCAGAGGGGGTGTGTTATGATGTAGATGGTTTTCTGGGCTCGGATTGGCGGCCAGCTTTGCTGGTGTAAGCAGGCGCGGAGTTTGGGTCAGAGCATTTGTGTCATTACCTTCAAACGTATGCTACGGTATCGTGATATCTCTCATTACCAATCTGGGGCAATCATGCGCGTGACCATGATCTCGGTTACCGGGCCATCCCTCAGCATTCCACTCCACCCCTCTAAAGATCATCCGGGTTCGTCGGCACCGTCTTCTCAACAGCCTTCGCCGAAGCCTTCTTCCTCGCCTCCATCAACTTCCCCATAAACCCATCGTCCTCAGTCTTATTCTTCGCATGGTCCCACTCCTCAATGTGTTCCTCAATCAGGCCCCTCTGGTCGAACTTGAACGTGATCTTGCTATTCACCGTCTTCGCCGTGCCCTCCTTCTTCAGCGGAATCGGCGACTTGAACACGTAATGCTGCGTCAGGTTCAGCTCTAGGCTTGAGGGCGTGGAGGAGTCGAGGACGTCGCAGCCTGTTTATTCGCGCCTGTCAGTACTTGCACAATGCTCTCGACAGGGTACCTAGGTATAGCTGTGAAATGAAAGGCCTGGTCTGGGCACATACGCTCAGTCTCACTCCTGGCGAAAATCTTCGGCATCCCATTGAACTGGCTCATGATGCTCTCCTTGCCGCGAGCGATGCTGACCGGGTCGTGGAACACGGCGTTCTCGGCGTAGTGCGAGTAGGCCTCATTGTCGGGTTTTGCTTGGTACAGACGCAGAATGTCGTCTATCAGTTTTTGCTCTTGGGCGCTGGGCTGGCGGGTTGGCAGGGTGCCGGCGGAGGAAGGGGTCGTCATGGTGGATGGAGTTGGAGTCGCTAAGTGATCGTGTTTGTAGTGCGTGGTATTGGTTGTGGTATTGGTGGTGTTTCTTAGGAGGCTAAACTTCTAGGTTTCAAGGCATTTGGTTTCATGGAGGGTTAGGTTGTTTCAAAGCGATAGAAAATGCATGAACACTTGCCTCTGATATGCGGGAATATGTCACCGCCTCCACTACAGGTCGTGAAGTAGGATACTAGACGTCATGGATCTGGTATTGTATGCACCCCACAAAAGGTAGTCGCGATCGCGGGGTCTAGGGTGCGCTAAAGCTACGATTGGTTAAACGCGAATCGGTGAAAGCAGTGCAGCGATTAGCGAGTATGCAGGGACTAAAGTATGCGCACAACATTGAGCTCGTGGGAGAAAATGGTATAGGTGTGGGAGACTGAGTGTGATTTGCAATGTTCTACATGCCGCCAAACATGCCCGACTGCCTCTACAAAATAAGACAGGCTTTTGGCGAAGAGCATAAAAACACCGGTGTCGTCTTCCAAAGTTTTTCTGAGTGTATTTTTCTCCTACTGCGCAAGTCGCCCATAACTCCTGCAGTCTTCCCAAAGCAGGAAGGCGTAAGAGATATGAGAGAACATGCGCAGACTGATCGGGTCCGCCATGAACGAGTGAAGAGCAGATGATCAACGGGGTCTGTGTGAGCAACGTGTGCTGAGGTGGTTGTGCTGAGAGCCGGTCATCTCACCAGAAGATGAGCCAGAAGGAAGGTCGGTGGTGTAAAGGTGAAGCTTATCGATGTATGGTCTCAAGGTCAAAGCGGCGTTCGAGATATCATCTTGTCGAAGGCCCAGTGAGGAAGGCAAGGCCCGGAAAATCATGCCGTATTAGAATGTGTCCCATTGAAAAGTACGGAATCGTTCCAGATTGGAGATAATGCATTGCGTGGGTCTGTCGTCGAGAGATGAACAGTCGGAGCGTGTAGTCGAAAACAGATCCAGCTGTCGTTTAGCTAGGAGGAAGCAGAGGAAGTAATGGTAAGGAGCGAATGTACGGATGACCCGTCC